GTTGAACATTGACCCAGGAACCAAGAGGCTGCCGGTTGGATTCCTGGTCAGGGCACATGCCCGGGTTGTGGACTTGATCCCCTGTGGGGTGCATGCAGATGGCAGCCCATCGATGATGTTTCTCTCTCATTGATGTTTCTATCTCTCTATCCCTCTCCCTTCCTCTTTCTCTAAAAAAAAATCAATAAAAACATTTTTAAAAATAATTTTAAAAAATCTATAGGGACCTTGATAAGACATAGCACCTTTTTGACTTTTAGTAAAAGCACAACCTATTATTGTCAAAGTTAAACTGATTTTCTTTGGGCTTTATGCATGTTAGATAGTGTAAAGTGAGCTGGAGAACAACTGAAGAGGAAGCTCCATCTCTAGTTCACTGTATCACTTTGGACAAGTTATTTAATCTTTCTTTTCCACATTTTCTTTATGTCAAATACTCTTTTTTTACTCTTGGTATTATAAGAAAAATATTACTAATTTATATTCTTATAGGACTTTTATTTGTATTATCTCATTTAATTCATTAATTGCAGTGAAGATCCAAGGGGTTATAAAAGTGCTTTGGAAAATATGAAGTTTCTTTGTTTCATTCTGATTCTGAAAAGATTGATGATTGTTTACCTTAGCGACCTGGAGCATTTGCTATTTACCTGGAGCCTTGGCATTTAGACATCTTTGAGTTTCTTGATTTAAAGAAGAACACAGGAAAGGAAGAACAGCGTGCCAGGGACCTTTTCTTTGCCCTTTGGATTCCAGATCTCTTCATGAAACGAGTGGAGACTAATCAGGTGAGAGATGGATACCTGTTAGTAATAATTACTTGATTCACATAAGCTTTTTCTTTAATCATCTTAAATCATGCTTAGGAATAGTCTACCTATGAGTTTTGCTACAGAAGGTATTTTGAACAAGTTAAGAGGTGCCATTCCTGCTTTCCTGGGTTTTTATTTTCCAAAGTAGATGCTGTCTGACCTATATGCTTAAAATTGTATACAAACAGGCAGAACTAGATATTTGGACCTGAGCCTAAAGTGGTTATTTCTATAGCAGATTTCCCAGACAGTCTATGGAAGACACCCTATGCATTATAGTGTTTCTAATGGATTATGTATGGTTGCTTATTTGAAGTTTCTCATGTGTGATACTGTTCTTCCCTTTGTAGGACTGGTCTTTAATGTGTCCAAATGAGTGTCCTGGTCTGGATGAGGTTTGGGGAGAGGAATTTGAGAAGCTATATGAAAGGTATGGGAAAAATAGGAAAGTAATAATGTTTTACATGTTTTTCTCTTATTTGGGGATCCACATTTCAAAACAATATCTTTCATTAGCCAGTTTCTAGGAATATTTGGAAGCATCTAGGAGAGAATATGACTAGTAATTTTATTTTGGTCAGCTTTACTTATTGAATCTTTACCAAAATTTTGGCTTCTGTTTTCTTTCTTAAAACTTTGGGACATCTAATATTTGCTTGAGTTTTTGATGCTTTTAAAAATGAAGGCAGTGAGTTAGCAGGGTTATTTTGCTTTGTCATATAGCACATTTGATAAATTTGTATTGCATATAGGAATCAGAATCAACTAGGACAGTACATGTCATTAACTAATAGCACAATGGTACTACTTTAGCACAAAAGCACAATTTGACTATTTTAGGTTTTGTTCTTTTTATTCTGGAAGGTGGTGTTGATTTAGTGGGTTTGGGTTGTATTTGAAGAGATTTAAAATTGCCTGGCTTTCTTCACTGGTGCTAGTGAGAGTACAATAAATGTCATATTCCTTATTTTTTTCCTTAGCTAAGTTTAGTAAAAAATTTGCATTTTTACAATATTATATTTCAGTGCCTTTCTTCATGTTATCTGTAATAAAGGTTTTCTTAGGGACTATTAAAGTAATATTAGCTTTGTCTTTCAGTTATGAGAAACAGGGTCGTGTTCGCAAAGTTGTAAAAGCTCAACAGCTTTGGTATGCGATTATTGAGTCTCAGACAGAGACAGGTACCCCATACATGCTCTACAAAGATTCCTGTAACCGGAAGAGCAATCAGCAGAACCTGGGAACAATCAAATGCAGCAACCTGTGCACAGAAATAGTAGAATATACCAGCAAAGATGAGGTAGGTAGAAAAATTTTTGCCTAAATCTACTACTGAGAGGTGAATTTTAGGAAGTAAAGTTAATTATTTGTGAATCCCTCACTTGATTTCACTTGAGATGGGTGAAGGGAAATTTTATAGCTTATTGGTAAGCAGAAGGGCACCAAAATAGACAGCAATTACACAGGAAAGAAGAGGTGTGATCTGTGCCCTTGAATATCTTTTAGTCTAAGCCATGTAGAAGTCAGTCACCTGTTTCTTAAACACATGTTGTTGTAATACTCTTTACTTGAGGGAAATAGTAATGTACAGTCATGGTAGTTTAGGACAAACACAAAAATGTGTTAGGATGCTCTTTCAGTTTAAAGTATGTAAACTTGTAGAGAATCCTTTCAGTGATGGTGAGAGAAAATTCTAATCTCAAATCTTTAAGGTGATTCACTGAAGAGACAAGGCCAGAATGGAGATATAGATTTAGTTAAAAAAAAAAAAAGTTTATGGAAAAGCTTCCATTTGGGAAGAAAGGTCTGTATGACAGATCAGAGATATGGATTGGTTTTATGCAATGAGTGTCAAATTTGTTTTGATGTAGCAAATACATTAAAGTTTGTTATTGGTAGAGATGATTTTGGCCAGGGGAAAAGAGTTAGTAGGTGAAAGCTGGAATGTATCATAGGCCTGTGTAGGTTTCAGAAAGGAAAATAGCATTAAAATGGTGGGATGAGAAGGATAGATTTTACTTCTGTTATAGAAAAGAGGTTTGTGGTTAGGTTAAAGAGATTGTTGTAGTAGTTGGATGACAGCTTTTTGGATATTGGATATAAACTATGAAAATGAGGAGGAAGGAGCAGATCACAAATTGTAGGACCTAAAAAAATACCATGACAAAAGAAAAATCAGGGAGAAAATGGTGAGTTAAACATACTGGTAAGGTTGCGTTTAATTCAAAATTTATTGAGTACCCAGCTATGTGTAAAGCACTGTATTAAGTGTTTTGGGAATATAAATGAATATGGCTCAGCCTCTGCCCCCTGGAAACTTATAATTCAGTTGGAGGAAATTGACATATACTAAAATAATTACACAAGATAGATTATATTATAGACTGCAAGAAAACTCTTCCAAATTACACATGCCCACCTCACCCTCTGACAAAGAAATTTGTTAGAAATATGGACAAATATGGATTCACCCCTTTTTTTTAATCCTCACCCAAGAGTATTTTTTCCATTGATTTTCATACAGTGGAAGGGATGGAGGAGGGGTGAGACAGAGAGGGAGGGAGAGAAAGAAAGACAGAGACAGACATTGATGTGAGAGAGACACATCAATTGATTGCCTCCTTCACGTGCCCCAACCAGAGCCAGGAATCAAACCTGCAACCAAGATATATGCCCTTGACTGGGAATCGAACCCACAACCCTTCAGTCGGCAGGCTGACATTCACCACTGAGCCAAACCAGCCAGGGATGCCTCAGGATTTTTGCTGTTAATACTCTTTCTCCCCACATAGGCACATGGCTTGCTTTTTAACTTCTTCCGTTCTTTGTCCATATGTCATGTTCTCATTGAGGTCTTTCTGGACAACTCTATTTTATTTTATTTTTTTTATTCTTTTAAAAAATATATTATAATAAGTACTTATCCCCAGGTCTCTTATCTTCTTTTTTTGTCTTATTTTCTCTCTCTAGCATTTAATAGACTTACATGATTTGAGCTATGTTTTGAAAATGGGTGCTTTGGCAACAAGTATAGAATTGAGTAAGTATGAAGGGCACAAGGGAGTCTTGTTGAGAGGCATTGAGGTTTTGGATTAGGATAGTCATAATAAAAATGGAAACGAAAGTATATTAATTCAACATTATTAAGCTTACTGTATGCCAGATGTGTCGCCCATACTAAAAATATATGGATAAGATATGATCCCTACCTTTAAAATGTTATTACCTAGTATAGTGAGTGTAATGGGAGAATCACCTGAAGAGCTTTTTCAAAATTCATCAACTTGGATCCTCTGTTGTTAAGGATTTGTCAGAATCTCAGTGAGGGTGAGGTGGGCATGTGTAATTTGGAAGAGTTTTCTTGCAGTGATGGAAATGTTCTGTATCTGGTGGCTGTGGGACACTTAAAATGTTACTAGTGCAGCTGAAAAGTGAATTTTAAATTTCATTTACATTTGATTACATGTGGTTAGTGATTGTTGTATTGGACAGGGCACGTCTACTCAGATATACATAAAAAAATTATAACACAATGTGATATAAGGGGTAATAGAGCCATGTACTATGGAACACAGGATTTTTTCCTCATCTTACCTATTCACTGGTGCATGTTATAACTCATGTGAATAAATACTGGGATTTAGAAATGAACTGATGAATGATGAAGAGGGAGAAGTAAAAGATAAAAATGAAAAATTTTAATGGTAGAGTGTTAGAGGCTTATATGGTAGTGTTATCCACAGAGAGGAAATAAAAATTTTGTGATTCTTGACTCTTTTTCTTTACATTCCAGGTTGCAGTTTGTAACTTGGCTTCCCTGGCCCTGAATATGTATGTCACATCAGAACACACATATGACTTTAAGAAGCTGGCTGAAGTCACCAAAGTCGTTGTCCGAAATTTGAATAAGATTATTGATATTAACTACTACCCTATCCCAGAGGTATGAATAGATATCTCTGCTTATTGATAATTATTGAAATTCAACGTGAAGGGAGTTTATCACAGTCTGCTTGCCAGGCATCTACACTAATAAAAGACAAAGATGCTAATTGACCATAACTTCGCTATGCCCACCAGCCAATTAGAGTGACTATATGCAAATTAACCCAGCCAAGATGGCGGTTAATTTGTGTATACCGGCTGGGAACGAAGACTGAAGACAATGTAGAAGGAAGTGGAGTGCTGCAGAAGGGAGCAAAGTAGAGGCGGCAGAGGCGGGAGTGAAGCAAGCCTCAGCGGGTTTCGCTCCCTTCTCTGCTTTGCGCCAGTCGCAGGAAGCCCTATTCTTGCAGGAATCTTCCTGCAACGGGCCTCTAGTCATTTAAATAGTTATTATTGGAATGGTGTGAGAAAACAGATAAAAAGAGTGTATGTCATTTGGTACAGAATGTTGCTTTTTTTCTGTTAGTAATGTCTCTTTCTTCTCTAAACCTATTGGCATAAAGGCATACTTATCAAATAAACGTCATCGCCCTATTGGAATTGGGGTACAAGGTCTGGCAGATGCTTTTATTCTGATGAGGTATCCTTTTGAGAGTCCAGAGGCCCAGTTATTGAATAAGCAAATCTTTGAAACCATTTATTATGGAGCCTTGGAAGCCAGCTGTGATCTGGCCAAGGAACATGGCCCATATGAAACCTACGAGGGCTCTCCAGTCAGCAAAGGAGTAAGTATATAGATAAAATTTTCTTCTTTTTTCTCATTCTGCGGGCCACCCTCCCTGTGCACTGCTGGGCACGGTCTGTGTGTTTGCCCCACCCTCTATCGGGTGTCCCCTCCATCTGCTATACTCTCCATCCACGGTTCCGTCTGCGCAAGTCTTATCCTCTGAGATGTCTCTGACCATGAGGAAGCAGGCCAAATTGCAAGCCTCTGGGACATCATGGGTGCTACTGTAGCCCACATGGCTTGCAAGTGTGGTGCATATGTGCATGGCCAGGAAACGCCTGTCAGGTTGAATAAAATTTTTGCCTCTGAGTTCCTATAGTAGGCTAAATGGTAGCCCTCAAAAAGATAAGCTTATAGCATAACTAGGCACAAAATTTGTGCATGGGTAGGGTCCCTAGGCCTAGCCGGGGATCAGGGCCGATTGGGGCCTTCCTTCCCTGGCTGCCAGCTACTGGCTGGGGCCTTCATTCTGCACTGCCCCCTGATGGTCAGCACACATCATAGAGAGTGACTGAATTCCCAGTCTTCCGGTCAAACTTTGTGTATTAGCCTTTTATATATATATAGATTCCTAGAACATGTGAATGTTCTGTTATTTTGTTTAAAGGGGTCTTTGAGATATAATTAAGGACTTTTGAGATAAGGTTATCCTGGATTTTTCAGATAGACCCTAAGTCTACTGACAGTTGTCTTTATAAGAGACACAGAAAAGAAGAGGAGGCAATATGACCATGGATGCAGAAATTGGCATGATGCAGTCACAACCCAGGAATGCTGATAGCCACTAGAAACTGAAAAAGGCAAAGAACATAATCTCTAGAGCCTCTGGAAGGAGCTCGGTCCTCCCAAAAACATGTTGATTTGGGTTTCTGGCCTCCAGAACTATGAGAAAATATTTCTCATTTTATGCCACCAAATTGTGGTAATTTATAAAACCAGCCATCAGAGACTAATATGGTACTTTTGTCCTCTGGAGTAAAACAGGTGTTCTGTTTTAGAACTAGTCATTGCTTAAATGACTTAAGAAGAATGCTATCTATATTCATTTTCTAATGCTAACCTTATTGAATTGAAACAATATACATTCAAGACAGGCTGTGCCCAGATCAAAATGACAGAGTATGTAAGCTCTGTGCTCACCTCCTGCCATAATCACACCAAAATTACAACTAAATTATAGAACAACCATCACTGAGAACACCTAAAGACTAGCTGAACAGAATTCCTATAGCTAAGGATATAAAGAAGAAGACATGTTGAGACTGATGGGAAGGGTGTAGATGTGGACCAGGCAGGTCTTACAACCATCAGCACACCTTGTAGCTCTTGCTAAGCGTCCCTAGCCCAGCACAAGTGACATCCAGTCTCAACTTGCATTGTCACTTTTATCAGGTGCTACATAGTGGCAGCCAGTTGTGGCCTGTAACATAACTTCAACTAATTGGTCACAAGCCCAGCACAAGTGACAGGTGGCCTCAGTTCACATTGTACCCACCAAAGGGTTCCAAGAATGACACCACAAGTAGCATTCAGTATCGGTTTGCAGTGTAGCCTCTTCCAAGTGCCTCCTAACCCAGCGAAAGCGACAACCAATTGCAGATCACTTGCAGCTTTTACCAAGAAGTCCCAAGCCTCGCAAAAGCTGACCTTGGCCTGTACCAGAGCCCCTCCCAAGAGGCTCCAGGACCAACAAACCTGATGGCTGACTTCAGACCACATTAGAGCACCACCCAACCAGCTCCACAAATGAGACACCCAAAGGACAGACTCAGCTGGCACCAGAGACCTGCTAAAGCAACTTACGCTCTATGGGGTCAGCCCCAAACAACAGCTTGTCTACTGTAGTCCCAGCCAGTTAGCATGAGGATCAGCCCCACCCACTGACATGCCAACAGCAGTTGAAGCTCAACTACAAGAGGAGGCCATACATGACCCACCTGGCTCAGGTGACCAGGGAGACTGTGTCACTGAGCTCCACAGAACACTACATAAAGCCACTCTGTCAATACCGGGAGACATGGCAACTCTACCTAATACATAGAAACAAGCAAAGGGAGTCAGGCAAAATGACACAAGGACCATGCTCCAAGTATGGGACAAAACTCCAAAAAAAAGGAAACAAGGAATCTACCAGGTACAGAGTTTAAAACACTAGTTATAAGGATGCCCAATGAACTTAAGAATAGATGAACTCAGTGAAAACAGAACCAGTCAGAAAGGAAAAATGCAATGATTGAAATGATGAATTTATTCAAGGGAATCAGCAGATTATATGAAACAGGATTGAATCATCAGTCTGGAAGGCTAGGTAGTGGAAACAATCCAACAGGACAGCAAAAAGAAAATAATTTAAAAATAAGGATGGTTTAAGGTACCTCTGGGAGAACATCAAGTGTTCCAAGATTCATATTGTAGGGGTACCAGAAGAGAGAGTAAAGGAATTGTAAACCTAATTGAAGAAATAATGACTGAAAACTTCCCTAACCTGGGGGAAGAAATAGACAAGTCCAGGAAGCTTAGAGTCCCAAAGAAGATGAACCCAGAGGTCTACACCAAGACACAGCATAATTAAAATGGCAAAGGTTAAATACAAAGAAAGAATCTTAAAAGCGATAAAAGAAAAGCAGTTAGTTGCCTACAAGGGAGCTCCCATAATACTGTCAGTTGATTTCTCAGCAGAAACATTGCAAGCCAGAGGAAATACTCAAAGTGATGAAGAGCAAGGACCTACAACCAAGATTACCCAGCAAAGCTATCATTTAGAATTAAAGAAAAGAGAAACTGTTTCCCAAGCAAGAAAAAGCTAAAGAAGCTCATCACTACCAAACTAGAATTACAAGGAATGCTGAAGGTTCTGCTTAAAAAAAATAAAACAAAACAGTACGCAGGTTCCTCAGAATAAAAATAGAACTATCATATGACCCAGTAATTTCACTTCTAGATATTTACCTGAAGAAATCCAAAACACTAATTCAAAGAGGCATATGTACCCCTATATTCATTGCAGTATTATTTACAATAGTCAAAATATGGAAACAATCTCAGTGCTCACCAATAGATGAGTAAATAAAGAAGATGTGGCATATATACAATGGAATATTACTCCGCCATGAATAAGAAAATCATATATTTGTGATAACATAGATGGACCTAGAGGATATTATGCTAAGTGAAAAAAGTGAGAAAGAGACATATAATTTTGCTTAAATGTAGAATCCAAAAAACAAAATAAATGAACAAATGAAACAGAAGCAAACATATTGAAAGACCATATTAATGGTTGCCAGAAGGGAGGGGAGTTGGAATGGTTGAAAAAGGTATCAAGAAATACAAATTGCCAGTAATAAAAATAATCATGAGTATGTAAAGTACAGCTCAGGGAATATAGTTAATAATATGCACGGGACACATCCGTCTATACCTCCGCCATTTTCTTCCTCTCAGTTAATATGTAATAACTATGTATGGTGTCTGAAGGGTACTAGACTTACTGGGGTGATCACTTCATAAGGTATATAAATGTCTAATCATTGTTTGTACACCTGAAACTAATGTAATATTGTATGTTAACTGTAATTGAAAAATAATTTTTTTTTAAAAAGAGGGGATTTCTGACCCATGCCACAATATGGGTGAACCTTGAACACATTATGCTCAGGGAAAGAAGCCAGATAGTATATAATTTCACTTGCATGAGGTACCTGAAATAGTCAAATTTGTGAAAAACAGTAAGTAAAATGATGGTTCCCAGGAGCTGGGGGTGGGAATGGGAGTTATTTAATGGATATAGAATTTCTGTTTTGCAGGATGAAAAGATTTCTGGAGATGGATAGTGGTGATAGTGCACAACAATGTGTATGTATTTAATATTGCTGTACTGTGTACTAAAAAAATGGTTAAGATGTTAAATTTTATATTGTGTATTGTGCAACAATAAAATTTTTGTTGTTGGTTTGGTTGTTAATCCTCACCCGAGGACATTTATTCCATTGATTTTTAGAGAGAGTGGAAGGGAGGGAGGGAGGAAAAAAGAGAGAAACATTGCTGAGAAAGAGATACATCGATTGGTTGCTTCTCACACATATGCCCTGACTGGGGCTGGGGCTGGGGATCGAACCTGCAACCCAGGTATGCGCCCTTGACTGGGAATCAGACCTGCAGCCCTTTGGTGCATGAGCCGACACTCTAACCACTTAGCAACACTGGCCAGGGCAACAATAAAAAAAATTTTTTATGCAGTTAATTTCAATTTTTAAAAACTGTTCCAAAAAATTAAAGAAGGGAGCCTCCCAAATTGATTCCTTGAGGGCAGCATTACCCTACTACCAAAACTAGATAAAGACACTACAAAAAAAGATAATTATAGGCAAATATTCTTGATGAACATAGACACAAAAATATCTTCAACAAAATATTAGCAAACTCTAGCAAACTGTATTCAGCAATACATTTAAAAAGTCATACACCATGACCAAGTGGGTTTTATTCCCAGGATGCAGGGTTGGTTCAACATCTGTGAATCAATTTATGTGATATACTTCATAAACAAAATGAAGGATAAAAATCATGATTATATTGCTATATGCAAAAAAGCGTTTGACTGGATGCAGCATCCATTTATGATAGGAAAAACTCAACAATGTGAGAATAGTGGGGACATACCTCAATATAATAAAGGGCATTTATGACAAATCCATAGGTAACATACTCAAGTCTAGAAAGCTGAAAGCTGAAAGCTTTTTGCTTAAGATCAGGAACAAAACAAGAATGTATACTTTCACCACCTTTATTTAACATAGTATTGAAAGTCTTAACTACAGTAATCAGACAAGAAAAAGAAATTTAAGGGCCCTGGTTGGTGTGGCTCAGTTGGTTAATCCTCACCCGAGGACATTTTTTCCATCATCCCATGCACCAAAAGGTCTCAGGTTTGATTCTTGGTCAGGGCACAAGCCTGGGTTGTAGGCTTGATCCCCAGTAGGGGTTATGCAGGAAGCAGCCGATCGATGTTTTTCTCCCTCCTCCTTCCTCTCTAAAATCAATAGAAACTTTTTTCTTTTTTTAAGAAAAAACTAAAAAGCATACAAATTGAAGTAAAACTTGTTTGCAGATGACATACTACATACAGAAAACCCTAAGGATTCCACCAAAAATCTGCAGGATAAACAGACTGTGACAAGGGCTGTGAAGAGATGACACTGGGTAGTGGATTGCAGCGGCCTGGGTTTGTGCCAAGGCCTCACTGATCAGCAGAAGCCAGTTGTGCAGTCCCAGGTGGTGGGGATGGAAGCACAGAGTACTTGAGGTGCCTGAGAGATCACCCAGTGGTGCTGACTGGGGCCTGCTACTGAGTGAGGCCAGAAGGACATCGATGGCATTTAGGAAGAGGGCACTAGGTCCACAGCCTGTGACAGAAGGCGGAGGAGCAGCTGGAAAGCATTTCCACCAGGGAAGCTCGGATGCTGTAATAAAAATCAGAGGTTTATGTTCTCATTAAACTCGAGCAACCAGATCATATCTGCATCTAACTTTGCTTCAGCCAGCGATCAAGCTCTAGGCCTGAATGAAACCAAAAAATAAAAAGTGCATTTTTTAAAAAGTCATTTTATTGTTTGTTGTCCCTACAGCAACTCTCCTCTGATTTAAAATCATGTGATTTCTGTGAAATGTGATCCTTATGTTTCTGATTCATTTACTGATCAACTAATGATGGTAAAAATGGCTTTGAAATGACAACATTTAGCACAAAGTTAAAAAAAAAAAAGATTCCTCCAAAATACTATTAGAACTAATAAATTTATAAAGTAGCAGGATCTACAATTAATATTCAGGAATCAGCATTTTTATACACCACTTGCGAAATACCAGAAAGGGAAATTAATAAAACAACTCCATTTACAGTTTCATCAAAAAGAATCAAATGCCTAGAAATAAATTTTACCAACAAGGTAAAAGACCTGTATTTGGAAAACTAAGACATGGAAGAAGATTCAAAAAAAATTTTTGGAAGGCTACACTATGCTCATGGATAGGAAGAATTAACACCTTAAAATGTCCATACTATCCAAAGCAATCTACAGATTCAATGCAATCCCTATGAAAATACCAATGACATTTTTTTCACAGAATTAGGACAAATAATCCCAAAGTTTATGTGGAGCCACAAAGATTCTGAATAACCAAAACCATCTTGAGAAAGAACAACAGTTGGAGGTATCATGCTCCTGGTAGCAAACTACACTACAAGGCTGTCATAATCAAAACAGCATGGTACTCACAAAAATAGACACATAGATCAATGGATCCAAATAGAGAGCTCTGAAATAAACCCATTCCTGTGTGGTCAATGTATCTATGACAAAGGAGGATAGAATATACAAATGTGGTAAAGACAGCCTCTTTAATAAATGATGTTGGGGAAAACTGGAGAGAGACATTTAAAAAAGTGGAACTAAACTACTTTTTTTCCCACCATATACAAAATGGATTAAATATTTAAATGTAAGACAAGCCATAAAACTGGACGAAAGCAGGCAGTAAAGTCTTTGACATTGCTTTTAGCAATATATATATATATATTGGATATATCTCTCCAGGCAAGAAAAACAAGAAAAAATAAACACAGGGGACTACATCAAACTAAAAGGCTAAAAGGTTTTTGCACAACAAAGGAAGCCATCAGTATAATGAAAAGACAACTTACTGAATGGAAGATATTTGCCAATGATACATCTGATAAGGGGTTAATAACCAAATACATAAGGGACTCATAAAATGTAATACCAAAAAAGCAAACTGACTGAAAAAGGCACAGGACCTGAACAGACATTTCTCCAAAAAGGATATATGAAATACACATATGAAAAGATGCTCAACATCACCAATCAGGGAAATTCAAATTAAAACCTCAATGAGATTACCTCACATCTGTCAGAATAGCTATCATCAGTAAATCAATAACCAGCAAGTTTGTTGAGAATGTGAAGAAAAGGGAATCCTTGTGCACTATTGCTGAGATTGTAAATTGGTGCAGCCACTGTGGAAAACAGTATGCAGGTTCCTCAAAAAATTAAAAATAGAATTGCCATATGACCCAATAATTCCACTTTAGGATATTTATATGAAGAAATTTGAAACACTAACTTTGAAGAGATATGCACTCCTATGTTCATTACAGCATTATTTACAATAGTCAAGATATGGAAACAACCTCGGAGTCTTAGGAAAAGAGGAATGGGTAAAGATGATGTACATATATAAATGGCTTATTACTCAGCTATGAATAAGAATACTTACCATTTGTGAAAACATGGATGGACCTAGAGTTATAATCTACACTAATAAAAGAGAAACATGCAAATTGGTGTCACTCCGCTACCCTTCCCATTGGCTAATCAGCATATCCTTATGCAAATTAAATGTCAGCCAAGATGGCGGCCGGCAGCCATGCACTGAAGCGAACAGGGAGGCTTGCTTGCTCCAGTGACAGCGGATTCCAGCGTTCCCTGCCTGACTTGCCGGCCTCTCAGCTGCAACTCTAAGCAACTATGTTTTTTAACAAGCTGTGCAGGTGTTTCTTATGGATGTTAAATTTTGAGATCTACTAGTTTGGAGCAGGGAATGCAAACTTTCCGTAAAGACCCAAATAATAAAAAATATTTTGGCTTTGCAAGCCATACAGTTTCTGTCACAGCTATTCAACTCTGCAACTGTAGTAGAAAGCAGCCATAGACAATATGTAAACAAATGAGTGTAGATGTATTTCAGTAAAATTTTACTTACAAAAACAGAGTTTTTTTGGTCCACAGTCTATGGTTTGCTGAACCCTGTTTTAAAGTACTTAAAAGTACTAGAAAGTACCATAAGGATTAAAGTTCTATAAGGATTATACATGTATAGCATGTATAAATAAACATTATTATGCATTCTTGTTAATATGTTACCTGAGTTATGTGTTATTTACTTTACACATAAATTTTAAGTCAAATTTATCAGAAACGAAAGGCTCTCACTGGGATATCCTGTTTTTTTAGTTTTATTTCAGAGATTGCTTGAAATCGTTTTTTTCCCCTTGTTTTGTTTACTGAAGCTAAATTAATTTGTATTACAAAGAGTTAATTTATAATTCTGAATAGTAACTTGGCTTCTTAAAAAGGATGTTGTACAGTCTAATTCTCCCAGGTGGAAAAACAAATGGCTGCTGGTTTTCCATTGTGTTCCTCTTTGTTTCATATCTAGCGCATTGTTTCTGAAATTGTTAGGTTGATGTCCCTTGAGAGACTGATTTCATCCGAAGAGAGCCGAGGCTGAGCTAGGGAAAATGGAAACAGGAACATTTATTTTTCTTTTTGAATTGCCTTCATTGAGGTCTAGGCAAAAGCAAAGTCATGTATTATGTTTGGAACAGCATGTGGTCATTCCACTTTTGAAAAGTCTAAAGGGAAGTGAGCCAAAGGGGGTAAAAAAACAACCCCTTTCCTTGTCACCTGTTAATATGCACTACTAAAATGTTTCTATTCAGTCCTATATAATAAAAGGCCAGCGACCATAACGGCGTCACGACCAGAATGACCAATTGACCAGTCGCTATGAGGTGCATTGACCACCTCTCAGTCCCTCCCCCCAGCCCACAGGCTCCGATTGCCGGATGGCCAACAGGGAGCCGAGATGGGTGTCGGCGGCTGGGCAGGACTAGGGACTGGTGAGCGGTGGAAGGCAGACCTCTCGGTCCCTCCCCCCGGCCCTCAGGCTCCAATCTCCAGATGGCAAACAGGGAACCACGGGGAACTGGGATGGGTGTCGGTGGTGGGGCAGGCCTGGGGACTGGCGAACGGGCAGAAGATGGCCCTGATTGCAGGCTAGGCCTAGGGACCCTACCTGCGCATGATTTTGTGCACCGGGCCTCTAGTCTATGTAATAAAAGCCTAAGCGACCGTTATGGCAGAATGACTAGAACAACCATCATATTTCAAATTATAGAGTGATTTATCATCAGTCGACTTGTTTATTCCTTAGATCCTTCAGTATGATATGTGGAATGTTACTCCCACAGACCTATGGGACTGGAAACTTCTCAAGGAGAAGATTGCAAAGTAAGTAAAACATGTAAAGTAGCTTTGAAATAAGAGTTCAGGTTTTCATCCTGGCTCCTCAGAAATTAGCTGTTATTTTAACTTCTGAAACTCATTTTTTTTTTATATATACGGAGCTAAAATGACCCATCTGCAGAACTATCTTTTATTTTATTTTTTTATTTTTAAATTAAATCTTTATTGTTCAGATTATTACAGTTGTTCCTCTTTTTCCCCCCCATAGCTCTCCACCACCCAGTTCCCACCCCACCCTCTGCCCTTACCCCTCCCACTGTCCTCATCCATAGTTGTACGATTTTGTCCAGTCTCTTCCTGCACCCCCACACCCCTTTTCCCCCAAGAATTGTCAGTCCACTCCCTTTCTATGCCCCTGGTTCTATTATATTCACCAGTTTACTCTGTTCATCAGATTTTTTATTCACTTGATTTTTAGATTCACTTGT